ACGCCCGAGACGTACGCCAGGAAGACGCCCTCGGCGTCGGCCGCGCAGATCGCGGCGACCTGCAGGCCGGGGCCGCCGCCGCCGCCGGCCGCCGCCGCCGCCAGAGGCGCGTGGACCGGGACGAGATAAAGGCCGAAGAGGACGAGGAGCACGCTCCTCCTCCTCCCTCTCCTCCTCTTACTCCTTCCTCTCCTCCTCTTCCTCCTCTTCCTCCTCCTCCTCCTCCTCCACCTCTTCCTCCTCCTCCTCCTTCTCCACTTCCTCCTCTTCCTCCTCCTCGTCCTCGTCCTCGTCCTCGGCCGCCGTCGGCCGCTGGCCGCCGCCGCCAGAAGTACTTGTGCCCAGACCACCTCGAGACCCCCTAGCTTCGTAAACAACACGTAAACGTTTCTGATCTGGCGTTTCGACGTTGAGCAAAAGGAGAGGGAGGGGGGAGAGGGGGGGGGTCTGGCTCCAGACCTCTGCTTAATGCGACTGTTTGCAACAAGGCGTGCTTTGGGGGAGATTTCACCTGCTTGAAAAACGGGAAGGTCTGGCTCCGGACCTCTGCTGAATGCGACTGCTTGCAACAGTGCGTTCTATGCGGGTGACTCCACCTGCTTGAAAAACAGGCGACGGAAACAGCCAAGATCCGCCGACCCCTTGGGGTCACGGCGTGTGAAATGCTTCCCCCTCCGCAAACCCCTCCCCAGGGGGCCCGGTCCGGCCGGTTTGGCGGGGTGGGGGGTGGGGGGCAAAGGTGTCGGCCGCACACTTGGAGCATCAGGAGAGCCCAGGACGGGCCAAAAAGGTTCAAAAGGGTCCAGGAACGGTCCAAGAGAGTTACGAGTCGATGGAAGATCGTTCCAAAACGCCGAAAATTGCCTCCAGACGGCCTCATCAGTCCTCAAGACTCTTGAACAAATATTAGAAGGCGCCTCGCGAAAGCCCTCCAAAAGCAAAAAGTCGTCCTAGCCCCCGGGGAAAACGTACATGTTCAGTACATTCGACTTTTGGGCTTCCACAAAATGAACCCTCGGCAGCCCAAGAGGTTCCCAAAAAGGCTCCACGACGGCTTCCAAGCGATCCACGTAGGCTCCAGAAATCATAGTAACGGCCCGGGAGAGCCGCAGGACGGTCCCAAGACGGATCCCAAACGGGTCAACAGGGTCACCAAAGGCTGCCCAGACGGCCCACGCGGAGGACGATTCGGTCCAAACCGCCCAAGATTGCCTCCAGACGGCCCCATACAAGACGTTTGACAACGCATCAACGAGGCGTTCCAAGAGGGCCTCCAAAAGGCTTCCACGAGGCCTACAACGGCCCAGTGAACCTCCAAGTTCGACCCCCGACACCCCAAGAGGCTCTCAAAAAGACTCCACGACGGCTTCCGGGCGCACCAGGAAGGCTTCAGAAACCACAGCAACACCCCAAGACAGTCGCAAGACGGTCCCACGAGAGCCCCGCAACGGGCCAAGAGGGTCCCCAAAGGCCTTCTGGACGGCCCACGCGGGGAACGATTCGGTACAAACCGCCCCAACTTGCCTGCAGGCGACTCCCCATAATTAGGCCCCGGAGACGCTTGAACAAATTACTACGAAGCGCTCCACGAAGGCCTCCAAAAGCAAAACAACATCCCCTTCCCCAGGAGAAACATAAATATTTAGCACATTCGCCTCTTGAGCTTCCACGAGGCAAACAACGGCCCAAGAAGCCTCCAAGATCGACCCCCGAATTACAGCCCCAGAGCCTCTCAAGAGGGTTCCAAAGCGGCCTCCGGGCGCCCCACGGGGCCCCAGAAACCGTAGCAACGGCCGTGGAGTGCCGCAGGACGGTCCCAAGAGGGCCCCAAGACGGGCCAAGAGGGTTCTTACAAGGACCTCCTGGCCGGCCCAAATCGTTCAACACTGCCCCAAGTCGTCCAACATTGCCACCCGACAGCCCTACAGGCCCCCAAGACCCTCAAGATGCTACCCAGAAGCGTCCCGGGAAGCATTCCACACAAGCAACAACCGCCCCATTCCCGATGGAAAGCACATCTTTCCAACACGTTTGCCTCTTGGCCTTTCACGCGGCCCCCGAGACCCCTTGCACGCCCCAGCACGCCACCAGGACGCGGTCCAAGAGGCCTTCCACAAGCAAACAGAACCCCCCCCTCTCTCGAGCACTTCGCCCGGAGAAAAAATGAAAGGGCGCCTAAATGCACCCAGGAAGCCGGGTCCGCCGATGCAATTTCTCGCCCCAGGCCCATCCGGTTTAGAACATCCTGGGGCCCAGCAGCAGCCCCTGGTGACCGAAACCTATCAAAAACAAGAGCTGCGGGCATCTACCTCGATCGAGAAGAAAAAAGAAGAGGAGATGGACGAGGAGGAGGAAGAGGAGGAGCAAGAGGGCCCCCCCAAAAAAATCGTCGTCGCCGCCGATGTCTCACAGATTTTCGCAGTCTTTCGACGAACCGAGGCATGTCCTCGAATTCAGCATCCAAGAACCGTTTTCGGTGCCCAGGACTACCACCGAGGGTCCGGGATGAGGATCGACCTCCCTGGCTGGCGCCACGCTTTCGCAAAGGAAGGAACACGGGGTGGATCGAAGCTCGAGGCATGAGATTCCTAGTTCTTGGGCGCTCTCCGCCCCCTCTGGGCCTTCAGGAAACTCCTCGTCGACTCAGCTGGGTCCACTCTCGAACTTCTGGCAGCTGTGTCCCAGCGATCCCCGAACCTATCCACGGGGTGGAAAAGGGGAGGCCTGAGACAGGCCCCGTGAAGGCCCCAAGAAACCCGCATAAGACCACGAACAACTTCAAAACAATCCCCTACAAGGCCCCCCTTTGAATTCCGCGCGCTACGCAGCACAAGCCGAAACCCGCGCGCGCTCCGCGAACTTTTGGACGCCCGGAATGGGTACGGAAAGAATGGGTACAATGCCCAACAACAAATGTTGCCCCAAACCAACAGCGGCCGCTGTTGGGCAAGCGGCCTTCTGTCTCAAATGGGCACAGGCCGCGGCGGCGCGGACAGCGAGTCCTGCTCAAAATGAACGGCAACTGCTGTTGGGCATCGTACCCCTTCTTTCCGTACCCATTCCGTTCGTGCCGAACTCTAGCTGCCGCCCCAACAAATTGGCGGTGCGGCGTAGGCCAATGAGTCTACTCCATGGGGAGGGGCGAGGGGGTGCGAGTGCCCTCGCCGATCGGCCCTCGCGTCGTGAACAAAAATAACTAGACCCCATCGAGACCCCCACCTCGAGACCCCCCCCCCCCGTGAGCACCCCTCGAGACTCCTCTCGGCGGCGAGCGGGGGGGGGGGGAAGTGAGAATGAGAAGGCCTTCTCAGTAAGCGGCGGGACTTCTCTGAACTCCTCGCTCCTTCTGCGAGGTTTTCTCTGTGTCGTCGGGGAAGGGGAAGGCTTGGAATACATCTCAAAATCTAGAGAACTTATCAAAAGGCTGGGGGACTTCTGAGACTTCTGAGAAGGCCCGCCCCTTCTCACTTCTCCCGTTCGCTCGCCGCCGACCCCTCACGTCGTGAACACAAACATCTTGCAATTTGCAGCCTGCGGGGGCCTTCGCTAATCTCCCAGACCGTCAGGAGACGACTCAGGACGAAGAGCTGGTCCTGAGGAACGTGTCGCTCCCAGGGGCCTCGTCAACGCTGGCCAGAGGAATACGTTCACGAGGCAGATTCTCGGAGGTCTTCCTACAACACAGCGGTGCTCATGTCTGCTCGGCCTTGTGATCAAAGGGTTGGCTGCACTGGACTAGCCCAGATTATCGGGAGCGGCCAAGAGGGGGGTGTCCAAGAGGGGGGGGTGCAAATCATGACCGGCGGCATGTGCGCGGCCCAGCGGGGGGGCCAGGGACGTAATGAAATAAGAAGAGGCGCCATGAGATCTGAGGAAAAATCATGGCCCACGCCATGATATCCCCCCCCCTAGTCATCACCCCCCTCTTTTCCGCCCCCGATTCCTGCAACATAGCGGTGTTCATGTCTGCTCGGCCTTGTGATCAAAGGGTTGGCTGCACTGTACTAGCCCAGGTTAGACCGGAACGAACGGGATCTGCCGGGCTTCTGCCAGCCTGGGCCGGGGGCCGGTCTTCGACCGCGGATCTGCCGGCCCCGATGCCGAACGGAACCTCCCAGCAGTTGCGGCCGAGGGCACAGGAGGTGCACGCGGGTGCTCGCAGCAGGTCGGGCATGTTCTCCTACAGGCGGATCTTGGAGGAAAAATGAAACACGGCCAACACATGCTCAAACGATATAAAAAAACAATAATCTCGTACCAATACTATGTTTTGAATATTTTTGAATACTCCTCCTGTGGAGGGACATGCCCGACTTCCTAGTCGCAGGGTGATGCCGTCGCCGCATCGTCGCCGTCGTGGCGTCGACGCCGCCGTCGCAGCGCAGCCACCGTCGCGTCCGCCGCCGCCGCCGCCGCCGCGAAACCGCAGGTGCAGAGGCGCGCCGCGCGCGCGACGCGAGGGGAGTGCGAACGCTTCAAGAAGGAGGCCCGCCTCCTCCTATCCTCACCCCCCACCTATCCTCAACTTCCTCCCTCCTTCCCCCCCCCTCTGTCTGTTCAGTCATCCCCTTCTGCGCATCCTCCCCACAAAACAACCTCACTACAACGACACGACACACCAACAAACCACAAACCCCCAAAACCCAAAAAACCAATACCTACAACGACATCTAGACAGGAGGTTAGCCGAAGTCCTGATTGAGGGAGACGCGGAGGGCTCGCCGAAGGCTAGACATACGTAAACGGACGCCGATGGAGGACGAGAGAGGAGACGCTGAACGCGAGGGGCTTCCCTGTGTCCACTCTCCTGCTGCTGCCTTCTGCTCCTCCCCCCCCATCCCCTACTCACCACCCCTACTCCTCCCTACTCCTATCCTCCTCCCACCTTTTAACCCCCTCCTCCTCCTCCTCCACTCCTACTCCTTCTATTCCCCTCCTACTCGTTACTCCTCTACTCCCAGCCTTCCGCGCGAGCCTCCGGGGGCGCCGCACGGTCGCTTTTCTAGCGTCGGTCGTGCGGCACTGGGCCCGGCGCGGCGCTCTGCGGGCGGCCCCGCAGCCGCACGTCGCCGCTGGGAAGCAGCTCCAGGTCCGGGTGGTGCCGCGCGGACACCTTGCGCAGGAGGCACCCGCACACCACAGCCACCACGCATGGCCAGGGCCAGCCTGGGCCCTGGTATCAAGTCGGGCCTGTCCCCCTCTACAGGGGGATTTTCGAAGAACACATACCCTGGCGACGTACCCAACCCCTGCGCAACACGGGGCATGAGTAGCTTGGGGGACGTTATACGGAGGTGCTGACGTGACATGGGCGCATATACTTCTGCAAGCGGCATTCGTGAGGCTCGCAGCCCCCCAGGGATTGCAATGTCCCGCTCAGATCTGCCTGGTGCCTCGCTCCGCAGGACCCACCAGCAGCCCTCGAAAGTGGCGACAATTTCGCAGATCGCAACCCCCCAAGGACGGCGAGGTCCCGCTCAGATCCGCGCGGTGCCTCACTCCGCAGGACCCACCAGCAGCCCTCGAAAGTGGCGACAATTTTGCAGATCGCAGCCCCCCAGGGACGGCGAGGTCCCGCTCAGGTCCGCGCGGTGCCTCATTCCGCAAGAACCACCAGCCGCCCTCGAAAATGGCGACATGTCGCGTATCGCAACCACCCCCAAGGACGGCGAGGTCCCGCTCAGGTCCGCGCGGTGCCTCACTCCACAGGACCCACCAGCAGGCCTCGAAAGTGGCGACAATTTTGCAGATCGCAGCCCCAAAGGGACGGCGAGGTCCCGCTCAGGTCCGCGCGGTGCCTCACTCCGCAGGACCCACCAGCAGGCCTCGAAAGTGGCGACGGTTTCGCAAATCGCAGCCCCCCAAAGATGGCGAGGTCCCGCTCAGGCCCGCGCGGTGCCTCACCCAGCAGGACCCACCAGCAGCCCTCGAAAGTTGCGACATTTTCGCAGACCGCAGCCCCCCCAAGGACGGCGAGGTCCCGCTCAGGCCCGCGCGGTGCCTCATTCCGCAGGAACCACCAGCAGCCCTCGAAAGTGGCGACAAGTTCGCAGATTGTCCCACCCGGGACGGCGAGTTCCGCCCAGTTCCGCGCGGCGCCTCAGGCTCCCGCCAGGACCCACCAGCAGCCCTCGAAAGTGGCGACAGACTCGCAGATCGCAGCCCCCGAGGGACGGCGAGGTCCCGCTCAGGTCCGCGCGGTGCCTCACTCCGCAGGGCCCACCAGCAGCCCTCGAAAGTGGCGACATCTCGCAGATCGCAACCCCCCGGGGACGGCGAGGTCCCGCTCAGGTCCGCGCGGTGCCTCGCTCCGCAGGAACCACCAGCAGCCCTCGAAAATGGCGACATCTCGCGTATTGCAACCCCCCCAAGGACGGCGAGGTCCCGCTCAGGTCCGCGCAGTGCCTCACCCCGCAGGACCCACCAGCAGCCCTCGAAAGTGGCGACGGTTTCGCAGATCGCAGCCCCCCAGGGACGGCGAGGTACCGCTCAGGTCCGCGCGGTGCACTCACCCCGCAGGACCCAACCACGCAGCCTCGAAAGTGGGGCGGCAATTTTTGCAGATCGAGCTCCCCCCAGGGGCGGCGAGGTACCGCTCAGGTCCGCGCGGTGCCTCACCCCGCAGGACCCACCAGCCGCCCTCGAAAGTGGCGACAAACTCGCAGATCGCAGCCCCCCAGGGGCGGCGAGGTCCCGCTCAGATCCGCGCGGTGCCTCACCCCGCAGGACCCACCAACAGCCATCGAAAATGGCGACCGTTTCGCAGATCGCAGCCCCCCGGGGACGGCGAGGTCCCGCTCAGGTCCGCGCAGTGCATCACCCCGCAGGACCCACCAGCAGCCCTCCAAAGTGGCGACAGTTTCGCAGATCGCAGCACCCCAGGGATGGCGAGGTCTAAGTTGGGTCCGCGCGTGGCGTTTCTGTGCTGGGCCCCCCAGCAGGCCTCGAAAGTGGCGACCGTTTCGCAGATCGCAGCCCCCCAGGGATGGCGATGTCTAATTTGGGTCAGCGCGTGGCGTCACTGTGCTGGGCCCCCCAGCAGGCCTCGAAAGTGGCGACAGTTTCGCAGATCGCAGCCCCCCAGGGATGGCGAGGTCTAATTTGGGCCCGCCCGTGGCGTCACTGTGCTGGGCCCCCCAGCAGGCCTCGAAAGTGGCGACAGTTTCACAGATCGCAGCCCCCCAGGGATGGCGAGGTCTAAGTTGGGTCTGCCCGTGGCGTCACTGTGCTGGGCCCCCCAGCAGGCCTCGAAAGTGGCGACAGTTTCGCAGATCGCAGCACCCCAGGGACGGCGAGGTCTAATTTGGGTCCGCGCGTGGCGTCACTGTGGTTTCACAGATCACAGCCCCCACGGATGGCGAGGTCAAATTTGGGTCCGCGCGTGGCGTCACTGTGCTGGGCCCCCCAGCAGGCCTCGAAAGTGGCGGCAGTTTCGCAGATCGCAGCCCCCCCAGGGATGGCGAGGTCTAATTTGAGTCTACCCGAAGGGTCACTGTGCTGGGCCCCCCAGCAGGCATCGAAAGTGGCGACAGTTTCACAGATCGCAGCCCACCCCCAGGGATGGCGAGGTCTAATTTGAATCTACCCGTGGCGTCACTGTGCTGGGCCCCCCAGCAGGCCTCGAAAGTGGCGACAGTTTCACAGATCGCAGCCCCCCAGGGATGGCGAGGTCTAATTTGGGTCCGCCCGTGGCGTCACTGTGCTGGGCCCCCCAGCAGGCCTCGAAAGTGGCGACAGTTTCACAGATCGCAGCCCCCCCAGGGATGGCGAGGTCTAATTTGAATCCGCCCGTGGCGTCACTGTGCTGGGCCCCCCAGCAGGCCTCGAAAGTGGCGACAGTTTCACAGATCGCAGCCCCCCAGGGATGGCGAGGTCTAAATTGGGTCTGCCCGTGGCGTCACTGCGCTGGGCCCCCCAGCAGGGCTCGAAAGTGGCGACAGTTTCGCAGATCGCAGCACCCCCAGGGATGGCGAGGTCAAATTTGGGTCCGCCCGTGGCGTCACTGTGCTGGGCCCCCCGGCAGGCCTCGAAAGTGGCGACCGTTTCGCAGATCGCAGCCCACCCAGGGATGGCGATGTCTAATTTGGGTCAGCGCGTGGCGTCACTGTGCTGGCCCCCCCAGCAGGCCTCGAAAGTGGCGACAGTTTCAGAGATCGCAGCCCCCCCCAGGGATGGCGAGGTCGAATGTGGATCCGCGCGTGGCGTCACTGTGCTGGGCCCCCCAGCAGGCCTCGAAAGTGGCGACACGTTCGCAGATCGCAGCCCCCCAGGGATGGCGAGGTCTAATTTGGATATGCGTGTGGCGTCACTGTGCTGGCCCCCCCGGCAGGCTTCGAAAGTGGCGACAGTTTCACAGATCGCAGCCACGCAGGCAAGACAGGAGGAGGCAAGAGGGAGACGGGACGGGAAGGAGGAGGTGGAGACCACACTGCTCTAGTCAACACGAATGCCCAACCCAGGAGGGTTTGGAATAATTACCATGGCGACGTACCCAACCCCTGCGCAAACGCGGGGCGCAAATAGTTTAGGACACTTTATAAGGGGGGCGATGACGGAGCGAGGGTTACATATGTCTGCAGACGGAATTCGGGAGACTCGCAGGACACTGGCTACAGGACAAGGACTAGATAAAGCTGATGAGTTACAATCCCTGAGCAACCCTAGCCACTTCGAAAGCGGGGATCTCAGATCGCAGCCCCCCAGGGATGGCGAGGTCTAATTTGGGTCCGCCCGTGGCGTCACTGTGCTGGCCCCCCCAGCAGGCCTCGAAAGTGGCGACAGTTTCACAGATCGCAGCCCCCCAGGGATGGCGAGGTCTAATTTGAATCTACCCGTGGCGTCACTGTGCTGGGCCCCCCAGCAGGCCTCGAAAGTGGCGACAGTTTCACAGATCGCAGCCCCCCAGGGATGGCGAGGTCTAACTTGGGTCCGCCCGTGGCGTCACTGTGCTGGGCCCCCCAGCAGGCCTCGAAAGTGGCGACAGTTTCTCAGATCGCAGCCCCCCAGGGATGGCGAGGTCAAATTTGGGTCCGCCCGTGGCGTCACTGTGCTGGGCCCCCCAGCAGGGCTCGAAAGTGGCGACAGTCTCACAGATCGCAGGGTCCCAGGGATGGCGAGGTCTAACTTGGGTCCGCCCGTGGCGTCACTGTGCTGGCCCCCCCAGCAGGCCTCGAAAGTGGCGACAGTTTCAGAGATCGCAGCCCCCCAGGGATGGCGAGGTCAAATTTGGGTCCGCCCGTGGCGTCACTGTGCTGGGCTCCCCAGCAGGCCTCGAAAGTGGCGACACTTTCGCAGATCGCAGCCCCCCAGGGATGGCGAGGTCTAATTTGGGTCCGCCCGTGGCGTCACTGTGCTGGGACCCCGGCAGGCCTCGAAAGTGGCGACAGTTTCACAGATCGCAGCCCCCCGCAGGCCAGACAGGAGGAGGCAAGAGGGAGACGGGACGGGAGGCAGGAGGGAGGAAAGGAGGAAGTGGAGACCACACTGCTCTATTAAAAACGAATACCCAACCAAGGAGGGTTGGGAAAAAATACCCCAAAAATACCCCAAAGAGGTAGCAAACAAAATCCGAAAATAGTCTGGGGACTATTTTTTGAATATTGTTTTACCTCTTTTGGGTATTTTGGGGGTATTTTTTATGTGTCGTCAAAAATCCCCCTGTAGCTGGACAGGCCCGACTTAACCCTGGCATGGCGTACATGCCTTTTTCTGGCAGAGGCCCAGAGCAGAATGCATACGATGAATTCGTGCGTCGTCAGTGCGCGCCAAGGCTGCGACCCCACGTCGCTCTTTCAAACCTTGAGTCGATCGCAACCCCGATCGTTCAGGCTCGAAATCCGTCGGGTCCTGTGGCGTTGCCGTGTCCCTCGGTGCTTCCGCGCCGGTCTACCGTGCGGTGTCCCCGCGCGCCCCCCCGTGCCGCAGAAGCGCAGAGTTCAACCTCCTTGAACGACTTCGGCGTCTCCAGCGCGCCAACGCCGCGCGAACCTACCTGGAGGCCTCCCAGGAAGGCTCCTTACTTGATGGGGCCGGTGGATCGCGCCGCATCGCCGATGCATCGGCGATGCATCGGCGACGTCAGCAATGCATCCGCGCCATCGGCGTGGAGAAAATCGGGCTCCGCCTGGAGCCGCATCGGCGATGCATCGACGATGCGGCGCGATCCTCCGACCCCATGTACCTGGACTCCATGTAGGAGGCCTAGGACAACCGTGCACAATCCCAGGGTGCGCGTTGGCCCTGACCAAGCATGGTGGCGGTGTACAGATTTCTTCTGCGAATGCCTCTGGGTGCGATCTGAACAAGCTCTTGAAAGCGTTCATGCCGTAGTCCTGGAAGATTGCATTGCGCTCGTCCGCGCGGCGGCTGTCTGTCGCCATGCTCGTTTGGCCGCCCTGGGGGCTGGAGGACGCCCAGGTACTGCTGGCTCTAGGCTGGCCCTCCCCTGGCTCAGTGAAGAATGAGACGGGTCTGCTTCTGACTCTTTCTGTTCCTGCTGCCGTCGTCGTCGGCGTCGTCGTCGGTGTCGGTCACGGCGTCGTCTCGGTCGCGTTCGCCGGCGCCATCGTCGGCGTCGCCGTCGTCGCCGTCTTCATCGTCGTCGTGCGCCCGTCCCTGATGCGGCGTCCTGCCCCGAGGGCGCCGAAACGAGCGTGGGCCTGCCAGCGAGCGGTCCCTCTCCCAGGGGAGCCGTCCAAGCAGGTCAGCCGGCAGCGGCTTCACCACTGCCGCCAAAGAGGGGTTGAAGAAGAAGGGCACGGAGACCCGGCTGCGCTGTGGGTCGCTCCGCACCCTGTGCTGGGTGGCGACGTAGTAGCCGTCCGTCATCAGCATCAACATCTCCCCCAGGTTGACAACGAGGTGATCCTCTCCCAGAGGCGGCACGTCCATCCAAGTGCCTGGGGAACCCTGGACTTCAGCCTGCAGGCCCGATGCTCGGCGGCGCGCACGCAGGGGCTGTGGCGAGGGTGGATGAGGGGTGACCTCTGAAAAGGCAGGGCCCCACCCTCGCTGGGGATGGGACGCGCAGGGACATACTAGTACTACGTGGTCTCCTCGGAGTCGTGGGCCCGACCCGAACATGTCATACCATCATCTTGTCAATGTCCTGGGCGGTACGGCCAGAAAGCGCCCGCCACGGAGCACATGCGATAAGATTTCTCGGCGCGCACGTCGCCCCTAGGGGGGCGACGCACATCTAGTGTCAGTATGTCTGGGTGGCGCCGATGGGAGGGATCGTGAAAGAAATATCATGATAGATAACGATGGCCATGACTAAATCGAATGCAGGAATGTTGGTATCAATCTTGGTCATCGTCCATCGTGGCTATCCTCCCGGATAACCCTCGCGAATCGGCGACGGCCAGAATGGAACATGACCAAGATCGGCGTCGACCAGCTCCCGCGACATCATGGTCATGGTCATCGTGGCTCTTCCCTCGAGGTCGCTTTCCTCCCCAGTCGGCTACACGCAAGAGTCAGCCCAGGAAAGAGCGACCTGTGGCGCGCGGCTTCAAAGGGGGGCGCGAGGCGCCTGAACCCAAAGCACGCAAGCCACTGCCATCGCATCTCCTTCAGCGATCAGGGGGTCCCCGTGGATCGGGGATCTTCTGACCTGGGTCAATCCAGAACCGGGTCAGCAAGACTGAAAAAAAAGCAATGCAGCAAACATAAACTGCAACGCAGGTCTTCGCAAACCCGGGTCAGCCAACACGCGCGGCCGCCTCGCGGCCACGAGCGGCTCGCTAACCCGGGTCGGCCAGAGGGGGTCTTCGCAGGATCCTGCAGGATCCGGTGTCCTGGCTGACCCCCGTTTGCATTGACCCCCGTCTCAAGGCTCCCGAGTGGACCCGCACCACAGGTCACTCTGGCGAAGGGTCACTCTTACGCGTAGTCGGCTCAGGGGCTCCTGAGAATCCTGAGCGCGGGCATTCTCAGAAGGCCGCCTCCACTGCCACACCCCATGCTGCGCGCCGCCAGGATCTGCCACGAAAAGAAGCGGGTCTGAAGGGCAACGATAGGGGGGGGGGACAGGCACAGGGGCGGAAACATGCATCGGCCTGGAATCGGCGATACGTCGCCGATAGATCGGCGATTGGCCCCCGATCGCGAGTCCACACAGTCCTGGGCGGGGTGGGGCCATCGGCCCCCTATCGGCGATCAATTGGCGATTGGGGGTCGACGCCTCCACCCCCATGGCCACCCCCCCCCAATCGTTGCCCCCGAGGGTCCCCGGAACAGACCCGTCCTTGACCTCGGGGCACTCCCTTGGGACCGGTCCCTCCTCCCGAGCGGGTCTCCTGGCACGGCCCCGGGGGCCCAAGCGCGGCCACCGAGGGCCGAAGACGGCGGCAAACCTCGGGGCACCCTTGCTTGGCGGCACGCAGAGGGGGGTCGTTTGGGGGAAGGGGGGGAGAAGGCTTCTTAGAGGGAGGCTGCTTCGCAGAGGGCGCGGGCCCCCCACCCACGGAACAGGGCCCGCGCATCCTGAGAAGCAGGGGGGGGGAGCGCTTCTGGGAGCAGCCCGCCCCCCTTCCCCGCACGCCCCCTCTGCGCGTGGCCGACCTCCTCTCCTTCCGTGGCGCGAAGGATACCTCGCCGCCCTGCAGCACAAACGTCAGGAAGCCGGAGTCCGAGTGGGCGCCCACGCCCACCGAGCGCTCGCTCCACGGTGCGCGCGGCCGCCCCGAGGGACGAGGGGGGGGGGCGCCCCGAGGAGCCGCCGAGCCGAGCCCGCCGCCCCGGCCCGAGCGCCTCCTCCTCCTCCTCCTCTCCTCCTCCCTCCTCCTCCTCCTCCCACCCCCACCCCTCCCCCTCCTGCTCCTCCTCCCCCTCCTCTTTCTCGATAATCGGTCCTGGGGGGGGGGGAAATCAGATGGGCGCGGGGGGCCCCAGGCTTGGCATTGATTGAAGCATTTGCGCTCGTTTGCGCTGCTTCCGTCTTCGGGCCAGTTGGCCTCGCCTCCGGGCGCCGCGGGGGCCGCGCGGAGGCCGCCTTTTGTTGCTGTTGTGTAGGTATTGATACAACTTATGGCTTATTATGGGGATTACCGTGGATTCCTATGGGGGGCCGTACGGATTCCTACGGGGGCGCGGGAGGCCCCAGGGGAGGGGCGCAGGAGGCTCCAGTGGGCGGCCCCAGGGGGCCCCCCGACGACGCGGCACGTGTAGTTCGGGCCTGCTCGACGGGAACAGAGGAGCAAAGAGCCACGAGAGGGGAGCGCGGATCCAGCAAAGAAACCCGCGCGGAGCGCCGACACTTGGATGCGCATGGTGTTTTATCACCTGCTTCTTTAAATTCATGTGTCGGTCTTCGGATCCCGCCCCCTCCGCGCCCGCCCCCGAGCCGCCCGACACGCCCGGGGGACCTCGGGCCGCGGAGGGGGCCGCACGGACGAGGGGCGAGAAGAGGCGGAAGAAGAAAACGAAGGACAAAAAACAATCATAATAATAAGACGCACAAAAAAACAGAAGAAGAAACGGAGGCGGGGAGCGAGGAGGAAAGGGAGGAGGAGGAGGAGGAGGAGGAGGAGGAGGAGGAGGAGGAGGAGGAGAGGAGGAGGAGGAGGACCCACAGGTGCCTGTCTTGGGGGCTGGCGCATCGGCTGCTTGCGGACCCCAAAGGCCTGTGTTCTTTATCATTAGCAAGTCGGGACACGATGCGCGCCGCGCGCAGCAAGGCAGCCTGAGCCGACGGCCGAGAAGAGAACCCAGCCGTGGCGACGAGGCCGCGCATCCTCACGCCTACTCGCCCAGACCTAGTGAGCTACCCGAGCACCGCGCATTCAAGGGCACGTGGTCACAAAGCGGCCAGCCGCTCCGATGGCACCAGGGCCCGCCACTGACCTGACACCACTGCTGCCAGACGCTGGTTCGCCGTGCTGGGCATCCTCCCCATGCATGTCTGCACCAGACCACCGTGCGCGCCGCAGCACCAGCACTGCACACGCCAAGAAAGAGGAGGCACAAGGAGGAATCGGTGTGTCCCTCTACAGGAGGAATCTTCCACAAGAGTCAAACATAATCGGTGGACTATTTTGTTTGGTATCATTCTTGACCATGTTCTGGGCTTTTTTTGTTTGTATTAAGTTTTCCTCAAAAATCCGCCTGTAGAGGGGGACATGCCCGACCTAACATTATTCGCGACAACGGGCGAAACCGGGGGAGGGGGGGCATGGGGCTCGCCCCCCCCGCCCCCCGACCACATCACGGCGGGGGGGCGCCGGAGATAGTCTCAGGACATCCCCGAAGAATCCGTGTGACGTGTTTGCACACGTGGGCAACATAGCGTGGCGTGATCCGGGGGGGGGAAGGGGGAGGAGGAGGAGGAGGAGGAGGAGGAGGAGGAGGAGGAGGAGGAGGAGGAGGAGGAGGAGGAGGAGGAGGAGGAGGAGGGAGGGGGCAAATCACGGCCGCTGTCGCACAGACCTTCACAGAAACAGGCTCCAATCGAGCCGTGAGCTGGCGCCGCAACGAAGGCGCGTCGGATCGGGCTGCATCGGCACGGGCTCCAAGGCCGAATCGGATCGGCTGCGCCAGGATGCAACACCGCGCCGTGCGGGCCTTGGGCCACTTCAGACCGCCAGAGTGGGAGGCCTGAAAATGGGCACCAACACCAAGACAGAGGGCTGCCTCCACAGGGGGGAGGCGATCCTAAATTTCGGTGTTGGCGGTAATATTTCGGCCACCTTGGAAGCCAGAATATTACCACCATCACCGAGATCGGGATCTTCTTCCCTCGGTGGAGGAACGCCGATCTTGGTGCTGGTGTCAACCTCTAGGCCTGCGACAGAGCACCAGAGTCGAGTCGCACCAAGCGGGCCGACAACGACATCGAACGGGCTCGATGGACTCAGGATGGAAATGGAACCTGGCCTGGGCGCTGGCTGCTCGGCTGCTCCTGGGACCTGTGGCTACGGGGGGGCGTAAGCAGGCGGCCCCGGCTCGGGGGGGGGAGGAGAGACATCGACCTGGAATCGGCCGCACGCCGCCGACCGATCGTCGACAGGCCATCGATATAGCAGATCACCATGCAGCTGGGCGAACGGACGATCGGCCTCCCACCGGCGATGCATGGGCGAGTGGGGATCGAAACAGCCCCACCTGCGCCTATCTCCTCCTCCTCCTCCTCCTCCTCCTCCTCCTCCTCCTCCTCCTCCTCCTCCTCCTCCTCCTCCTCCTCCTCCTCCTCCTCCTCCTCCTCCTCCTCCTCCTCCTCCTCCTCTCTCTCCTACTCCTTCCTCCTCCTCCTCCTCCTCCGCCTCCTCCTCCTCCACGTTCTCCTCCTCTTCCTCCTTCTCCTCCTCCGCCCCCGAAAGTTGCCCCCAATGCTCGCCTGCCCCTGGACCCCAGGGCTCCCAAGGCTGGCCATGCGACCGTGAGGCTCGTCTGGGGGGTACCTGACGATCTTCATTTGCCAGTGCGGCCGCTCGCCGATGAAGCCGTCGAAGCCTTGCGACGGCATCCCGAGGGACCTGGCCAGCGAGCGCGTCAGGTGCCAAGAGATGTCCATCATGACCTCGGAAGGCGATTACTGGAAGGTCTTCGCTGGAGAGAGTGAGGAGGAAAAAAAACCCATTGGTAGGCTGTTACGCCAAATTGGGTCTCGGATCAAGCGGGATCAAGCCGGATTGAGCCGGATTAGACGGGATTGCGCTAGATCAAGCAGGATTAACCCGGATCGAGCCGGATTTCGGACGCAGGGCAAAATCAGAATTCGACCTCCCAGGAGTTGCATCCGAACCTCTGGCAGGTAAAACAAGCCTGCATCGGTGAGCAACGCCAACTGTTCTTCGAAACGCGATGATCCGTGCGAAATCCTTTCTGCATCTCTGAAGGGGCCCTGGGACACACAAATAAATACACACAAATAAAATGATTCCCCATATTTTCCCATATTTTATGGGTTTTTGTCTTCCCGCCCAATTCCCATATTTTCCCATATTTTCCTGGGACTCGACGATTAATTGTGTCTGTGTGTTTCTTTCCCTCCTGAATCTCATGCATTCCCCCGCTGCCGCGACGTGCGCCCGACAGATATGGCAACCCCTACTCCAGGCGTCGTGGGGACGATGGAGGGGCGTCCATCCTCGATAGGGGTGCGTCCGAGTAGCCTTAGGTCGGGCATGCTCCGCTACAGGCGGATGTGGAAGAGAAACCAAACATAATCAGACAGCATTCAAAACAAACCAACCATAGGCAAAACATCGTCCACATACTAATTATGTTGTGTCTAGTCTTGAATATTCATCCTGTACGAAGACATGCCCGACGTACGAACAATTAACCCCTTTGGGGGGCATCCCAAGACTTACCCGTCTTTCTGAGCGGAGACACGTCTCGGGCGGCACCCGGGGAGTGGGGGGAGAAAGCTCGCCTGCGAAGTGTCGCCACCGTACCGTTTCGGGACTGCCCCAGACCTCGCAGGAGCCGGGGCCGTCGTCGTCGTCGTCGCCGTCGTCGTCGTTGTCGTGCTCGTCGTCGACGTCGTCGTTTTCCGCGTCGTCCTCGTCGTCCTCGTCGTCGTCGTTGTCGCCGTCGTCGCCGCCGCCGTCGCCGTCGTCGCCGCCGTCGTCGTCGTCGCTGCCCCCGGAGCCCACGCGCGGGCGCCCTCCTCCGCGGGCCACTGCTGGGGGGGCGCGGGAGGCCACACAGAACAAGTGAAGGGGCCCTGGGACACACAAATAAATACACACAAATAAAAAGATTCCCCATATTTTGTCATATTTTCTGGGTGTTCGTCTTCCCCCCTACCTCCCATATTTTCCCATATTCTCCTGGGGATGGACGATCCATTGTGTCTGTGTGATTCTCCCCGAGCACGGTGAAGTTGGCGACGGCGGCCAGCGGCCGAGGACTCTGCGCTTCCAAGAAAGACCTCCCGACGGGCTCCCGCCACGGCGCGAGCACGCACTGGCGGCGCGCGGGGGGGGGCTTTCGAGTCTCGGGCCGGGCGAAAGGGGGGATAGCTGATTTTCCCGGCGCCTCCCGGCGCCGGGAGGCGGCCATGCATTGAGGAGTGGGCCCGGCGGCGGGGCCGAAACCAGCTGCATGCAGCAGATTTCGTAGTTCCCCCTTTCCCTATACCCCCCCCTTTCGTTCGGCCCGATCATTTTGTGACATAGGTCGCGCGCTTCTGTTTTCTGCTTCGCAGTCGTGGGGCGCTCCGTTCCTGCCGTGTCGCAATCCACAGTCGCGATGCTCACAACTGTTGCTTCGCAGTCGAATCTCCGCGCCGACTGTCGTAGAGGATGTGTCGGAAAGTTGCCAATTGCGCACTCTTCTGCCCACGCGTCCTGCTGGACTCTCGGTTCATGCTGCTGCTACTGCTGCTGCAGAAGGGTTTTGGGGGAGGGGGGAAGGGCTGGGAGAAGGCTGCTCCCTAGAAGGCGCCAGCCTTACATTTATAGACAAGGCCCGCGCCTTCTGGGAAGCAGGGGTGGTTCTAATAAGCATTCCCCCCTCCCACTACCCTCTTTGCGCGAGGACCAATGTACGTGGCGGGGTGGTGGGGGATGCCAAATGATACCGATAATGCTACTCGCCGGTCCTCTCCTGGGACGAGTTCTAAACCGGATTTCGACGCGCATCCGGCAGTGGGAGGGAGCGCATTTCACGGGCGCTTGACTTGGGAAGGTTCGGCGGCGCGTTTGAACCCCCCCCCAACATTCGGCGTCTTCGAACAGAACCACGGGAGCTCCCCTCCACAATTACTCAATATGACAACTACTCTCCGCCTTCCCCTGATGACGGGTTGGGAGTGTTCGCCCCCCCCACCCCCGGCGTACTGTTTTTTTTACACACAGGATTCCCGGAGTTGGGTGCATTTTTTCCCAAAATGCTGCTCTCGCTGGGGCGCCGGCCTCATTTTCGGGCCCCGCTCGTTCCGAATCGTGCTCCCGCTGCAGCGCTGGCCTCATTTCCGTGCTTCCGCTCGTTCCGAATCGTGCTCCCGCTGCAGCGCTGGCCTCATTTCCGCGCTTCCGCTCGTTTCGACTCGTGCTCCCGCTGCAGCGCTGGCGTCATTTCCCGTGCCATGCCACGGCATGCAATGCAATGCTAGGTTGCGTTCCGCTGCGCGATGCCATGCCTTCAGCTGAAGCTGTGATATGCAGTGCTTAAGTGCCACGTCGTGCTATGCCATGCGACGCTTTGATCTTCAACGCCATGCTATGCCATGCGACGCTTTGATCTGCAACGCTGTGCGATGCCATGCTTTGCGATGCAAAGCTTTGTGATGCAATTCTTCACTACGCCACGCCGCGCCATGGTGTGACATACTACGCTTTGCGGTGCTCTTCTACGCCATGCCATGCCGTGCTCGGGATCACTGCCCTGCTCGACATCCGACTGTGCGAGTAGAGAGGGGATCTACGCCATGGTAAGTGATGGGAGGGAGGGGTAGGATGTCAGATATGACGCGAGCGCACCTGGCTTGCCCTCCCCCCCTCCCCGAACCCCCGTTCAAGGAGGGAGGGTTGCAATCCCCCCCCGGCGGCGGTGGCGGTGGCGGCGGCGGCGGTTGCAACCCCTCCTTGAACCAGGGGGTAGGGTTGAAGGGGCCCGTTCCGAACCCCCCCCTCCAAGCGCCAACAGAACGCGCTCTTTCGGCGGTGGCTACGAAGACCCCCCAAGAGGCTCACAAAAAGGCAAAAACGAGGCGAGGGTAGCGGCATCGGTACCGCTTGCACCATTGGGTGGCAAAATGTGAACCCTGCCCCCGCCCCCCAGCGATTGCTGAGAAGGGGTGGGGATGCACTCCGCTCGGGAGCTCCCGAACGAAGTGAGAACCCCACCCCCCCGTTAGAATTCGTGGGGGGGTGGGGTAGGGTTCATAGGGAAACGAACTCTATACACCGACATGTTTTCCGACCCTGCGCTGAAATTCGCACAGGAACGCGGATCCTGGTGTATCCATGTTTCGTTGCTTCCCCTGGAACGCGGGGGAAAGGCATACACCGCACCACCCCGACGTCGCCCCCGACCCTCAAAAGGTCGTGGGATTGAAAAGACAGGCCGCCACTGGTAGTGTATCGGGAGCGGCCAAGAGGGGGGTGTCCAAGAGGGGGGGGTGCAAATCATGGCCGGCGGCATGTGCGCGGCCCAGCGGGGGGGCCAGGGGCGTAAGGAAACAAGAAGAGGCGCCACGAGACCTGGGGAAATATCATGGCCCCCGCCATGACATCCACCCCCCCCTCGTCATCACCCCCCTCTTTCCCGCCCCCGAGCGTGTACCCATCGGTCGGAAGAAGTAGGTAGAAACATGAAGTAGGAAGGCGTTGGAAATAGATAGGGTTTTCGCACGCCTCCTGAAGAGGAAGGATGAGGGGAAACACTCCACTCTTGAAGTAGGGCAGGCGCTGAAAGCAGATTGGAACCTCTGGGAATCCAAAGATATACCTACTTTTTCAGCGACCGATGGGTATACGTGCTCCGGTCTCCGGGCTCACCGTGTGGACCGCGTTGTTCAGCGCTCCGCGTGCGCTTCCCCCGCCCCTAGAGGGAAGAGAACTATGCACATGCACCGATTCTGGCCAGGCCCATCCTGAGCCCAGGATCGGTGCATACGCCCTCCTACCTTGGCCAGGAAGGCATATGCACCGATCCTGGGTCAAGGATGGGCCTTGCCAGGATCAGTGCATGTGCATAGTTCTCTTCGCCCGAGCCCCCGGGGGCCTCGCAGAAGGCCTCCGCGCGCGCCCGGAACCCCGGCGGGTGCCCCTCCGCGGGCCACAGGTTGGGGCCGCGCAGCCGCTCGGGCGGGGGCAGCCCCCGGCCGGGCACCGGGGGCTCCTTGCGGGCGGCCACGGGGTTGCGTGGCTCCCCTCCGATCGGGTGTTGCTGGAAGTACCCCTGGCCCCAGGTGCACCCAGTGGTGGGCCTGTTTTCCACCACCACCACCATGAGTAGGAGGGGGAGGGGGTCCTCCTCCTCCTCCTCCTCCTCCTCCTCCTCCTCCTCCTCCTTCCCCCCTCCAACTTATGGTGGTGGTGGTGGACAACAGGCCCACCACCCAGGATTTGCGGGGTGGCCCATGCTGCCTCCAGGCCACACGTCACGAGGCCCAGAGGGCCCCAGGGGCTCAAAAGTGGAGCGAAAAGCTGGGGGCACCTTGGGCCAGGGGCACTTCTAGCAGCACCCGATCCTACTTCGGGGCCACATCCCAGAAATACGTTCGAGCACCCGGAAAAGTGTCGAGAGAGTGTCGAAACAGCGTCGAACCAGTGTCGGGCGAGTGCCTCCCAGGGCCCGACACGTGAAAACCCCAGTGCTTCGGTGCTTTTTTGGGCGCTCGAAATTCTTCCGGGTGATCAAGGCTAAAGTAGGTTGGAGCATCATACAGCCACAGGTGAACCCTACCCCTGGGGGTCAGAAGTCGAAGGATGCCTTGAGGCAGGAGATGCCCAGGGGGGCGTCCGATACCCCAGCGTCGAGCGGACCTGCAGGGGAAATCGCGAAGGGTCTGTAGTGTTGAGGACCGCCCCCCCCCCCAATAGTTCTCGGCGGGGAATAGGAAGTCGTCCCTCCTCCTCCTCCTTCCCCTCCCTCTTCCTTTCCCTCTCTCCTCCTCGGACTCCTCCTCCTCGTCTCTTCCTCCTCTTTCAGCCGAGGCCTGTGCGGTGGCCAACGCGAGGGAATTCTTGTTCTCCAAATATTTATCGCTGGGGCCCCAATCCGCAAAGAGAAGCCCGGAGAAAAATTGCATTGTTCCCCACTCTTGCCCAGGAGGTTTATGAAAGACCCTTCGGGGTTAGGGCTCGCCCTTGGTCTTATCGGGTCGGGCGATAAGGGGGGGATATCAAAAGGGGGGTTTGAGAATCAGCTCACGTAGCTGATTTTCCCAGCGCCTCCCGGCGCCAGAGGCGGCTATGTATCGAGGAATGGGCTCCTCGGTGGGGCCGAAACCAGCTGCATGCAGCAAATGTCGTACCCCCCCTTTCCCAATCCCCCCCTTTTGTCCAGCCCGATCCTATGTCGGGCATGTCCTCCTACTGGCGGACTGTGGACGACACATAAAAATTAGCCAAAAGTATGCCCCCAAATGCATACATTGTAAAAAAACGTCCCCGGACTATTTGAAAACGATCTTCGAATACTCCTCCTTGAGAGGGACAGGCCCGACTTAACCTTCGTCGCAATCTCCTCCCGCCCGAACTCCACCTGCTCGCGGAAGTCCACCACGCCCCTCTCGCCGGCGGCGCGCACAGGCCACGGGGGGCAACTGCTGTGGGGTCGGGCATGTCCTCCTACAGGCGGGCTTGGACGGCAGAAAATAATCAAAGCATCGTCCCCTGAACTATGTTTTGACTAGTTTTGAGCACCCCTCCTGTAGAGGGGCACGCCCGACTCAAAACTGCTGCTAGGTCTTCGCAAGAGCGAGTTGGGGGCTACACTCGAGCTGTGTCAGAAGAACGCGCGAGAGGGATGCAAGCAAGGCCCTTGGAAGGCCGTTGCGAGGCCTTTCCAGCGGGGCGCGGCCAACGAAAATGGCCAAGGATGGACCGAAGAGGCAAGGATGCAAGTGTACCCTTGGGAACGTTGCCCATCTCTACTATGCGGGTTGACTGTACATGATGCAACTGCTGGCAAATCTTCACAAAAACTATGTGAGGGCTCTATTACAGCCGGGCCTAAGCCAGACGAACATCCCTCAATAATATGAGACCCTTCGCCAGCCAGAACACACAGAACATCCAAGGTTACCCTCCACAAGGTGCACCAGAACACCCGACAAACACGAAGAACACTATGATACCCTCCCCGAACCGACCTGGATCTGATACCTCGGTCCGACTGCAGGCCAGAATAAAAAAGGTATGAAACCAAATGAAGCTGGACTGATGGGGGATCGAATCAAATGAAACGGGATTCGGCCGGACTGGGTGATGTTATGCTTGGCTGGGACGATTTCCGACCACCACGGTTTTAGCAGCGCCTGTGATGAACCAAACCTACCAGGTAGTGTTCGGCCAATGGCCCCTTGATACGCATCGGTTCTGGTAGGTCTTCTGCGGTCTTCTGGCGGTCTTTGGTGCGAATGCTGGACGGTTGCGTTTTCACGAGCAACCCATGACCGCACACCCAGCGCAAGGGCACAAGTCATTGGCGCGAGGCAGGGGCCTCTCAAGAAGGTGTGGGGGATCCTCAGGCGGAGGGGGGCCTTCTCTGCGGGGCCAGGAGACTTCCAGGATGGGGTCCGAGAAACCAGGACTGTTTCCGAAGAAACCCCCTGCCTTTCAAGTATGAAGGGGCCCCAGGACACACAAATAAATACACACAAATAAAAGTATTCCCCATAGTTTCCCATATTTTTTGGGCTTCTGTCTTCCCCCCCACTTCCCATATTTTCTCATATTTTCTGGGGAATCGACGATTAATTGTGTCTGTGTGTTTTTCTTCCCTCCTGAAAGTAAGAAGCCTCCTGGGCTTCTTAGAAGGGTGCCTACGTCGCGTCGCCCCCTCGTGCGCGCCGCCAACCTCGTGTTCTCCGCGCCCAGCCGTATGTAGCCGCGGAAGTGCGGCGAGAGGCGGATGTCGAGGGAGTCGACAGGGAGAAACTGGCTTTGGGGAAGGGGGGGGGGTGCAGACAGTGACATGGCACCGGCGATGCATCGCCGATCCTTCGGCGATGGGCCTCCGATGAAGAAACACGCTGCGTTCCTGGACAACTCTACCCGCCGGTCGGAAGAGGTGGGTCGAATCAAGAAGCAGGACGGCGTCGAACATAGACTGGGTTTACGCACGCCCCTGAAGAGGAGGGAAGAGGGGACCGCCTGTCGGGGGTACGCTCTAGGCTTAGGTCGAGCATGTCCCCCTAAAGGGGGATTTTGAACGACAAATCAAAACATGCTCAGCAACATAACCCCCAAATGGTCAAACATAGCTTCAACAAAATAAATCGTCCCTTGACTACGTTTTAACTAGTCTTGCATCTGCCTCCTGTCGGGAGCGGCAAAGAGGGGGGTGTCCAAGAGGGGGGGTGCAAATCATGACCGGCGGCATGTGCGCGGCCCAGCGGGGGGGCCAGGGACGTAATGAAATAAGAAGAGGCGCCATGAAATCTGCGGAGATCTCATGGCCGGCGCCATGATATCCACCCCCCCCTAGTCATCACCCCCCTCTTTTCCGCCCCCGACCTCTGGCCGAGAATGACCAGACCAGGGAAGCCTGTCGACAGCGACGGCAGCCACTTCACGCGACGCGAAGTGTTTCGTCGAGTGGTGCGGAGTCCCCCCCCCATCCCCACCGAAGCCCGTCCTCTTCCTCGTCTTGATACCCTCCTCCTACTGCTCCTCCGGTTCGCATCACGTGGCGGACCCAAGTCGCCGATCCCGGGCACTGCGCCCGGGACACGCGGCTCCTCTGCGCAGCCCGAGCAGCCGCGGCCTGGCGCGCCGTTGCCCATACCCCCATGCGCCCCTCCGGAAGGCTGGGGCCCGGCGCTGCGCGGCGTGTACAGGGCCGCTCAGCGGTATCCGGTGAAGGCCCCTGCCTCTAGTAGGGGCAAACGATTCAGAACATGCTACCCCCCCCCCGTCCTGGGGCCCCAAAAATGAATGAGTGGGGCAGACTACTAGAATCCAGCCGGCGGAGACTGTTTTTGTCAATCGTCTGCTCCCCTGGCGTTTTATTTTGCCGCCTTGCGGGAACTGATTTTCTATTCGTCCTCCTGCGTTCGTTTGATCACCCACGGCCGCGGGAGGAGGATTGCGGAGAGGGGGTGCCAGAAGCGCTGCAAGGGAGTCCCAGCGCAGATCCAAGAAATCCACGGAGGACCGCCGAGAGTTTATGTTTATGCAGCTTTTTCATCTCCGACTTAAGAGCCAACCTGAGGACGGCCAAGCTGTCGGCCTCGCGGACGGCGGCTGGAGCTTGAAAATGAAGCCAACGATGCCGCGGGAGTAGCGTGTCGGAAGAACCGAACAAGTTTGAACAACAGCTATGAACAGCACACTCCCCCAATCCTCTGTGCAAAAGCGCAGCACGCGGGAGGATCCGAATCGATCGGAAGCTCGAAAATGAGGCCAGCGCTACAGCAGGAACAACATTTTGGAAGAGCCGAACACGTTCCGATTGAACAAATGAAACCACTATAAAAACGGATTCGCGCAAAACCTGTGTGAAAACAAAAACACAATTCGCGGAGGGGTGCAGGCAATCTTCCGAAGTGCATCAGGGGAGAACGGGGAATGGTATTCATATTGAGTAACTGTAGAGAAACAATAAGTAGCAGGGGGAAGGTGACAAGCGATAGAAACGCGAGGGGAAGGAGAAAGAGGAGGAACGGGAGGAAAATTGGCGGGAAGGAGGTCGCTGTCTGAAGGCGGCGCAGCATGTTTGCTTTCCGCGCACGATTGGCGGACAAAAAAAAATATACTTCTCATTCAGGGCTGGCCAAAAGCAACTCCAGCGGCCTCGATTTGTCCGCCCCTGCGGATTCGAATCCTCAGCCCGCAAAGTCTTTCCCGGCCTTTGCTTGCCCCGCTCTGAATTGGCCCCCCGCCCCCCCGCCCTGAATTGTCAGCCCGCGCCATCCCCGGGCCTCCAAACAACCCGGGATTGTTCGCCCTCCGTCTGCCTGCCCCGCCCCCCCGCCTTTGCGTTTGCGCGAAGGCCCGCGAAACTATTATTTGCATCGTCCGCCCCAGAAAACTGTGTTAATCGCTTACTCGCATTATCGTGGGGCACGGGTACCCATCGGTCGGAAGGATGTAGGAACATGAAGTCGGAAGGCGATGAAGAAGGAATGCGTTGAAAAAAAGATTGAGTCTCCGCCTGCCCCCTAAGGAGGACGGAAACGGTCAAGCCACTCGATCCTTGAAGTAGAAAAGCGCTTGGAGTCTGGGAATCCAAAAATGCATACCTTCAACATTATAAGTCTTGCCTTCCCCTATGTCTCCTGCTTCGGTGTCCGGCCATGGTGTGCGCGTTTTGCCGGCACCTGATGGGTGGCTCCATCCTGGGCGGGGAGGCCTGGACATCAGATGCACGGAATCCACCGCTGCCTGATGCGCTCGGAGATGCTAGAAATCAAAGCCCTACTGAACGACATAAAACTGATTGGACTGACGGGAACGATAAAACGTATTGCAATACGACTCAATATAACATTATCTGAAACTTCGAGCAGTATCTGTACCTACGTATGGAAAGACTCATGCACACACACGCGCCCACACACACACATATGTCTATGCACATATCTAAATGAAGATCTATAGATAGAGCTGTACTGATACAATGAAGCCCTACGTGCATTAAATAACTAGCCCGGCCAGATATCAGGCCCGGTTGGGGCCGCTGGGTCCGGAGCGCTGTGGCTGGGCGACCTCTCGCGCTTGGGCCGGTGGCGGCTGGGCGACCTCTCACGCTTGGGCCAGCTGAGGTCGCCCGGCGGGCGGTCCCCCTCAGCCCCCGCACCCGTGGCACCCGTGCTGGGGCGCTCGCCACGGCCGACACTGGGGCCCGGCGCCTCCCGCACGGTGTGGCCGCTCCGCCGGGCCTTCTCCACCACCGTCTTGGGTTTGCCGAAGGCGACGCGGCAAGCCTCGCAGTAGCTCACGTCGCACCCCTTACAGTGCCACCGCAGGGCTCCGCTGTTAGCTCCGCCCGCGGGGCACATCTCGCAACCCCAACCGTCTCCCGGGTCAAAGGAGCTCCAGCGCATCTTGAGTGCGCATGTCGGGCAGGCAGGCGGCTGGATGGTCGGGCCATCCTCCCCGTCGCTGCCTGGGTCAGGGCCGCGAGGCCGGCTCGCCCACTCCGTGACCACCGTGCACGGGTCCGTCTTGTAGAACCGATAGTTCGACCTCATGCACTCCCGCGCGCGCTTTGCGTCAGCGCGGCGCTGGAACTCCACCAGCACGCACGGCTCCCGCTTGTGGCGGTGGTCGTACAGGAAGGCGATGTGTTTGACGACCCCGAAGGGCACGACCACCTGCCTGACCACCTCGGCATCGACGTGGTGCGGTACCCGCTCGATGCGGATGATGGACTCGCCCTCGTCGTGCTGGTCACTGGGCTGCTGCTGGGCGCCCTGGCGCTGCTCCTCCTTGCGCCTACGGCGGCTCCTCGAGCGCGGCTGGCGCTGGGGCGGACCGTCCCCCGCGCCTGGCGCCTCCTCCACCTCGGTCTTCACCTCGAAGGACCGTGGCGGCGCCCCCCCGCTCTTGGGCTTCAGGACGGCCTCACGCTTCACGATGTCGGCCTTCGGGGGGGCGCCGCCCGTCTTGGGTTTCAAGACGGCCTCCTCCTCCTGTCCCCTGCGCCCGCGATCGCGAGGCGCATCGCGCTCGCGATCGCGGCGCCTCGCGCGCGAGGGCGAGCGCAAGGGCGCAGGGCGCCTCTCGCGCTTGCGGACCTCTTCGGCGAGGCGCTCCTGGCCCGGCGACCGCGCGGGCCGCGGGCGCGCCTTTGGAGCGCCTTTGCTCTGGCGCCGCGCGGCAGCCTGGATGGCCGCACGCGCCAGCGCCGCGGTGACCGCGTCCTCTCCCGCCTCGAGGACCGGGGCTGGGGTCGACTTCCCCTCGCCCCTGCTCGAGGCGTCGTCGTCGGTGAGCTCCACGACCGCCTCCGCGTCCACTGTGCGCATCATGTCGAGCAGCCCCTTGTTGTGCTTGCAGAGCTCGCGGAGCTCCGGCATGGGCTGCCCCTGGAACTGGGCCAAGGCGAGCGCCAGCTTGGCCGCCTGGCGCTGGACCTTGATATTCGGCCCCGCGCCCACCCCCCACGCACCCCGCTTGCCGTCGACGATCACCAGCTGGCCGTGGTCCTCGCTCGCCCCCGCGGCCAAGCAAGCCGCCGCGATGCACGGGGCTGCTTCGTGGTCGTGGTTGACCACCTCGACGAGGTCCTCGCTGTCCAGCTCGTTCACCACCGTGTACAGGATGTTGTGGGCGGCACTCCGGAGCTCGTCCGACAGCGCGGCCCCCGAGACGACGACGCCGAGGGGGTTCACCGCCATGATGCTGTAGTCATGGCCACGCGCCTTGCTCTGGTCCGGGGCCACCAGGCCCACCAGGAATCCCATGATGCACGCTGCCGGAGCGCGGGGCGACGGCGCGGCTGGCGCGCGGGGCTGGGGTGCGCGCGCTGCTCGCGCGCCTCGCTCTGGAGTGGGAGATGGCTGCGGATGAGAGGACCAAGAGGAGGTGGGCGTGCCTGGGGCGATCGGGAGCGGTAGCGAAAGGGGGGTCGAGGGCGAGAGGTCCACCGGGATACCCCCACAACGCGAAGCCCCCGCCCTGACCTGAATACCCGTGGGACCCGCCTGCTGCTTTCCCACACGCCCATTAACTCCTCGCCCTGGCTCGTATCTCACCAATTCCTCCTCTCCTTCCCCCTCCGTAGTTGACCCTGCTCGCGCCGAAGGGCGCGCCCAGGGGGGGCGCCCGGGCGCCCAGGCCGGGCGTTCCGAGGGCCTCAGATCGCTCCCAAACTGGGGCGGGTCGCTCCCGGCCAACTGGTCGGGGCGGGCGCCGGCCGCGGCGCCGTCGTCACCGCGGGCGTCCGGGGCCAATAAGGCGTGGCCCTCCGCCATGCCTCGGGCGAATGGAGCCTGACGCCGATGGTCCTCCCAGAGGTATCCGTGGAAGGCGTCCGTGGACCACCTCCCGAACCTCTTGACCGCTTCCAGGTCGCGACAGGCGTGGTACAACGCCGTCGCGCCCCCGATGCGCAGGGAGTGGGATCCCATCTGGCCTGCGTCCACGCCGCAGGCGGCAGCCGCGAGTTGGAGGAGCCCCTGCACCTCCTCCCGCATAATCGGGTGGCC